ATCCTGCAAGAAGACAATATTACAACACAGACAACATCAATGTTCTATGAATATATTAAGAACGTTCTCTTTGTTCTTTTTAGTATGTCGTTTTTAGAATGTTCTTAGAACATGCCTAGAATATACTTTCAATGTATACTGTAAAGTATATACTGAGTTGGTACGTTCTTTAAAAGTATATTCTAAAAATTATATCCTGAGTACGTGCCTTAAAAGTATATTCTAAAAAGTAGATACTGAGCACGTGCTTTAACAGGACATTCTTGGAAGTCATAAACCCAGCATGGACCTCAGAATATTTTGAAAACGATCTAAATGGTATTAATGTATCTAGTATATGCTAAACTTAAATACTTAGCATATACTTAGAACGTACTATCAAAGGAAATTAAGATACTTATCGCATATTGTACACATACTTGGATACATTCTCAGTATTTGCATAGCATTTATAAACAACGTCCCGTAACATAATATATTCTGAGAATGTTTTAAATGCAAATAAAGTATATTCTCAGCATATCCATGTTCTTAAAAAGTATATACTAAGAATGTATAATTGTTAACTCGGAATATTTGTCTGTGTGTTTAATTTTACAAGGTGCAAGTTTGTCAGAATGCATTCGTTATTAGTGACGTAATTTGTGTTTCAATTTGTGATGACTTTCAACAAAAATAAAACGTTTTGTAGTTGAAATTGACAAGTTTCTAGGCATTAAAGAATAACCACATTTTAAATTCTCCTTCAAAAAGGCGGCGACCACATCCAAAACATGTAACCGAAATTTTCAATTCTGACTACATTCATGATGTCATTTCCGATAAGATATATATAAGAAGAAACAACAAGTTGCCAAAATACATGAAAATTTAACGCCAAAGATCATTGTATACAGTGTTAACCAAAATAGGATTTAAATGGAAGAAAGATGATCCCCTACGGGGTCTTGTGGAACTTTTTTTGTCTAGTATTGCTTCCATAAAATAGAAATGACATTTTTACTTGAGGTAATGCATATACTTTAGCATGATACTAAAAAAAGAAGGTATGAATGGTATGATATAGCGTGACGTACTGTGGTACAGGGGCAGCGCTTTTAATAGGCAATGATTTATACAGAAAGTGTGTTTACATTGTTATTTTTTGACTCCTATTGCAATTTCTGCAAATTTGTTAATTTTAGCAAAAACAACTGTCTCGACTGTTTTAAGTTTTCAAAGGTTGATAGTTTTATTTAAAGGTTACATAAATGATCTTACATTAATTTGTAAAATATTTAGCCCTTTTGACTAAAAAGGTCTGTAATAAGATAAAAATCCATTTAATATGTATGATGTTCGAATACCACCGTTGGCCGGAATTTTTTCATTTAATTTAATTATTTAAAATTAATTCTGATGCCTTGGTAGGATTCCCCACTCGACCATTCACTGTTGGGTACTAATTAACAGTGCTGTTCCTAAAGTGGCGCTGGGAAACAGTAACAAAGCCTACACAGAACACGAGGCTAATAACCGTAGCCGTTGATGCCGATGACACAAAAAAATAATATGTAACAATTTAAACTAGAGAAAATTTTCTACAATTTATGTGTTTACCTTTTTTTTTTGTAAAATGAATACCAAATGAATAGTAAAATGATTAGCGCAAGAGCGAACCAAAGTCTACTATTCAGTATATCTATGCCAAATTTGAACAATAATTGGTTGTGATTAAAAACTGTAATAAAAAAGTGAAGATTTCCACAATTTAATTTTCTGAATTAGTTTTAGTATAAATTAAAAAATTTTTGACTAAAAACTGTGTTTTAAGGAGTATTTTTTTTTTTTTATTAATTTGATAAAATAAATTTTCTATTTTTTATTTAATCGCATTCAAAATTTGCATACGCCCTTAAAATTATATTTAAAAACAACCATTGTTTTACATTTTTTGATTTATTTTAATTTGATGTCGCTTTTGCAAAAAAAATTATGTTTTCATTTTTCGCAAAGACGAAGCCAAGGAGAATGCGAAAATTTCGTAATAGTAAAGTGCATATCATGATATTTACTATTACCAAATTTTCGCAAATTTTAAATGCGATTTATTCAAATTATTAATGAAAAACTACTTAAAACGCAGTTTTTAGTGAAAAGTGAAAATTCTTTTAATTTTTACTAAAACAAATGCAGAAAATCAAATTACTAAAATCTTTACCTTTTCATTACAGTTTTTAATCATAAACAATTGTTCAATTTGGAAGAGATATACTCAGTAGTAAACTTTGGGGCGTTTTTACGTTAAAACTATTCATTTTACAAGAGTTAACTACATAAATTGTAGGAAATTTTCTCTAGTAGGTAATATTTTCAAAATACTGTTTTTGGGCGCAATTTTACCAATATGTCGACGCGAGCGGCAAAGATACGAGGCCGCAAGGTGGAAATTCGAAAACAACACGTCGAAATCTATAAAAATGCCAATTTTTTAAATATATTGGATTTTAACACCGAGTCTTATTTACAGGTCTAAAAAATGAATTGTCTTCCTCCGAAGCCCTAAAAGAGACAAAAGTACCCCAGTCAACTGTATACAAAATTTTACAGGAAAGGGCACCATCTAGAAAGGTGCGAAAAGATTCTGAATAATTTTATTGAACATGTGTTTGGTAATTTTAAAAATTATCTTTAACTTTTGAACAAATAACACTCAACCTAAGCTGGCTCTGATCTGCATGTTGGCGAATTGAAGAGGTTGCCAGACACTTGCGCTTTCTAGATTATCTTGCAATGGACTATACTTTAGGCTGCTGTGCACGTGATTACTGCATCTCTTTGATTAAAATTAGTTTTTTGTATGGAACACATTTTTGTCAGTCATATCTCAAACGTTGTTCATTCATTATCTAGATTTCATCAAGTTTAATATTATCGACTGAATGTGGCTGTTATGAGTGAGGCCGGATTTTCACTTAGGGAAATAGTTAAACTTGTAATAATTGGAGACGCAAGTGGATAAAAGTGTCATGTCACCATAAGAAAATGGTTTTTATATATACAGGGTATTAGTATATTCGACAGACAATGCTCTACCACAGACAGCTCTCATTAATTGTTGAACCATTAAAAAAGCTTAGTTACCAAGATACAGGATGTTAAAGACTTTAAATAAAAATTCAAAATTTGCCATAAATCAAAGACGTCTTTAAATATGTTTTTTTTCGGATTTGATCTACCAATATCTTGTCAAATACACGAAGTATTAAAAATTTGGCATGTGCTTACTGAATTGGAATTTAGAAATATTGAGTCGTTACAAATTATCTAAGTACATACATACTTTTGTTTAGAAGCAAATTTTGATTTTAGCTCCATAAAAGATTTTTACTTTTTAATTGAAAATGAACAGAGAATTAAAAAATAAAAAAAGGTTGTCCCAGAGGCGTAAAAAAGGGAGAAAAAGTTGTCACTAACTACTTTGATAGCGCGCCACTGGTAAAAATTTTCAAAGCTTAAGGCCCGATTGTACAAAGCAAGCTAAAACCTAGGTTCAGGTGAACTCGGTAAATGGTTGAACTTACCTTAAAAATTGGTACGAATTGTACATACCCCGCTCAACGTCGGTTTAGATAAACTTCATTGTTCAGGTTTGCCAGATTTCAATTTTACTAAATACGTATGGTATCTTTGTTTCTCTTATTAGAAAATAAAGGAGTTATATAAAATGCCATTTTTGGCATTTCTGCTCTAAAATTATTTTTAGAGGTTATACGTAGTTTTTCCTCGTGACGTGACTGATAATATGGAAAATATGAATGTGCAATCAAAAAGAACGCCAAACTTCATGTATGACGAAGAAGGTTTACTAGTGAAACTAACGAAAAAATATAAAGACATTTTAGAAAATAAAAAAACGGATGTGAATGTAACGCGCAAGAAGAATGAGTGCTGGATAAAAATTGAAAATGAATTTAATTCACAAATTTTTGTACAAATTCAGTATTGTTCCACTTAATAAAATGATTGTCCCTTGGTCTATATATTTGTAGTTGCCTTTTTGGTTGTTGTAAGTTATTTAATAATTCTAAAAAAATCCTCATCTTCAAACATTTCATCTAGTTTTATGAAACAACTTATATTAATTAGGAATTCGGTAATTCGTATTTGTCTTGTTTTCTATTGATCTACCTATTGTACGGTTTGTGTACGGGACCAACTGAAAAAATATTTTTTTGTAGTGTGTTACCAACTAACTAAATTCAAAAATAGGTCTGAACTCGGTTTAAGCGCGGAAACATGACCGCTTTGTTGAACCTATAAATGAACGCAGTTTATGCTCTGAACTAGTATTGTACATCACCCAGAACCAGGTTCATGCTAAACCGAGGTTCAACTCGCATTGTACAATCGGGTCTAAAGAGCATATTGGTCACAAAATTTGAAAAAAAATATTTAAAGGCGTTTTTGATTTATTGTTGGTTATTATGCAAAAATAATATTCGTTCTATTTGTTTAGTCTATAATTTTACATTTACACCCACTGTTTTTTTTGCTAAATGTCTATGTTAAAAGAATTGTTTACAGAAAGACCCGAAATAATTAGGCATTCCAACGACCTGTCCAAATGACTACCAGTGGGTAATGACAGTTTAGATATGGCAACCCTGTTGTCATGCTGTCATTAACAGGGTCAATGATACATATATGGTTATATAGATTGCTCAAAGCTGGTCGTTTACGAGCGGCCATATTGCCTGGCAAATATTTATTAATTTGAAACGGTTTAGCAAAAATGTGTTTTAAAACCAATTTTTAGCCTTTAGATATTAAAAAACATAATTTCTTACATTTTTACTTCAAGGCATAAGCTTATGTTTATTTTGAAAAATATGGATGATCAATCTATGTAACTATCTATTTCATTGACCTTGTCAAATCACCAGGCCTACAGGGTTGCCATAATTTTGTCATATAATAACCCGTCAAAACCCACTGGTAGCCATTCAGTTTGGAATGCCTAATTACAAACTAAAAATAAGGAACGAGTTGTCAAGTGTTTCTCCTGAATTGTTAAATAATGTAAGATCTCTTCATACTCAACCCATTTACCGAAACTGACGCTTGTACATTTAAATAATCCGCCGAGTAACTATCAACATTACAATTGCATTTTAGAATATTTTATAATACCTATAACTCAATAAAATAATTAATTTCTTTTTAAACTCTTATTTTATTTTCACTTTTTCGTTGAATAAGCCTCTATACCACCATATATTTTAAAAACTCAACATATTCAATAATAATTATCGCCTATTCTTATATTTATTAAAATGTAGATATCTGTATTTTTCCATAATAATTGCTCTCATTCGAAAAATTGTATTTGATGAAAAACCCTATGAATATTTCGAATCTGAACAACGGCTTTCGAATAAACTACCTCAATCAATCCCTAAAAATACATCTTTCATGTTGATATATATCACAGTTCACTAACAAATAACTCAGGCGAAAGTGGGATTCAAAGAAAGTTTAGAAAAGCTTAATATTAATCGTAACATATACGAGACGTCTCGTATTCTCAAGTGTTCGTTGCTTGACCGCAGCATGGTAACCTTTGCCGTAGAGGTTTTATGTATGAATAGGTGTCTTCCCCGGTTTTGTAAAACAGCTGCAACAAATAAAATTATTAGTAAAACATGACAACAAAATTTAATAACAGTTTGTCAGAGTCAGCTGTTTGATATGGCCGGCCCTAAACTCGTCTCCGAGCCGGTACTAACACATAATCCAACCCTTAATTGATATGAATGTTTATTGAGGTATTTTAATCCCACAGCTAAACTCGCCCTCGATCAAGGGATTATAATTTCTAAGAATTTGAGGATTTGCTATAAATATTTATTTTAAAGCCACTCAAAAACAGATCACCGATCAAAAGATTTTACCTTTGCAGAATTTGTGAGGGTAAACTTAACTAGATTTAGGCACTATTGTGATGTTTGTTTATTTTAAACAACAGTTTATTTATTAATAATTTATTTAAACACTTATTTATTTTATAACACTATGATAATTTATATATATTTCGAATCTCTTTAAACTGTTCACTATTTATCTTCACTGTCCATATATCTAATGACTTTCGTTGATCCTTCACCAATATTATTTTTATACAAATAAGTGATCCAGAATGCTCCTCCACCAAAACATCTCATATCCGGAATAGACCAGAAATATTATCACGATGACTCAGGAATTTTCGCGAAAGTGCCTCCGCCATAGTCGTCACATATGTTTGGTCTTAAGGAGTTTAATTATGTATAATAATCGGACAAGTTGAGCCTCAAAGGCCAAATAAGACAACAGAGTCCATTCTTCTTCGTAACTGGATCACATAATCTTCACCAGCTACATCTTCTCCAGGTCGGCATCCAAACTCGAGGTCTAAGGTAGAAAATAGTTTACTTCCGGCCAATGTGTCCAAGGTATCGTCGATTCGAGGAAGAGGATAACTGTCTCTCTTGGTTACATTTTTCAACTGACGGTAATCCACACAGAACCTCGTAGTTCCATCCTTTTTCTAGACCAGGACTACCGGAAAGACCCATGGGCTGGTAGAAGGTTCTATCACCCTGTCTTCCTTCATTTCCTGAACAATCCTTTCAGCTTCCTCTCTCTTGGCCTTTGGTAATCTTCGAGGTGATTGACGAATCGACCTGGCGTCACCAGTGTCAATTTTGTGTTTTACAACAGAAGTTCTTCCTGTTTTTCCTCCTTTTGGTACAAAATTGTCACGATATCGTCGAAGAAATTCTTTTATTTTCTTTTTCTCTAATTGATTCAGAGCTTGACCAGCAACTGCAATCATTTGCTCAAATTTGTCATTGGAATTATCAGAAGTTGTTGTCTGACGAATTATGGAAGTTACTGGTACACAAGTTCCGATTCTGGTCTCTTTCTTGATGGTAATCGGGTGATCATTAACGTTTATAAGACGAACTGGAATCTCTTTAGCAGTCGTGACCAACCCCTTTCCAATCAGAATTCCTCGTCCAACCTCTTCATCGTGGTTCCAAGGTTCCATCATTACAGGTGTTACTTCTTCCATAGTTTCTTGAAGCCGTGCTATTATAACGGTTTCACTTCTTCCAGGCTCCACCGTATCCTCCTGTACAGCAACTGGCACGGTACTGTCCCCATATGGATGTAGGAATATCTCTTCGACACCAACTTTGATCACTCTGTTCTTAAAGTCTAACTGGAAACCATGTAAGTTCATTACATTCATTCCAAGTATATAACATCTTCTTCGATATCAGCGACAATAACAGTATGAGTGAACTTTTCTGTACCAATTCCCAATTGAACCTGGATTTCGCCATGGATGTTGGCACTTTCACCTGTGGCAGTCCGCAGTCGCAATCTTGTTGGTAGAAGTTTCTTACGGTTATTTATAGTTGTTGGTCGTATAATAGTCCTAGTTGCTCCAGTATCCACTAACAGTGTACACTTTTTACCATTTACTTCGCCGTCTACGTATACACTATCAAAGAGGCTATTAGTATAAGAGGGTCTTTGGAACTGTTTCGGGTCGAAGCTGCCCCCTCTAGGCCGACTCGCTCTAGTTTTCCTGCGGCGTGTTGTCTTGATTCGTTGTGACCCTTGGACGTTTGCATGAACTGCATACATGTCCTAGTTCCCCACAATTCCAGCACCTGATAGTCTTCGTCTTTATCTTTCTGTCAGTAAGGCTCTTCATCATATTCACCAGTTGATCGAGTTTACCTTCCTCTTCTTCTTCTTTTACAGTCCTTACTTTACTGTATCCACCAGAAGCCTGTGTAGCTGCCTCATATTCAAGGGCAGTGGACAAGACATCGACCAATGTTTTGTGACAGGTTAGACGAAGTGTTTTTTTCATCTCGTGGTCACGAAGTCCATCAACAAATGCCAAACATTCCATCATGTTTTCTGGAGCTGATGGGTAGGCAAATCATATTTAGTCTCTTTTTGAGTTGCTCAAAATCATCTGTCTCTTCCACGGGTATAGTCTGAAGGACATCCAAAGCGTCTCCTCGAAAGGCGATGGTCAAATTTATTGCCTTCTCTCGTTCAGACCACTCGTTTGCTCTGGCAGCTGTTTCGAACTGCTTAAGGTAGTTCGTTCAAGACATCTTCCCGTCAAAAGTTGGGGCTTTAACACGAGGAGAGTTTACAGCTCCTTCCAATTTCAACTTCGACTCCACCTCATGGCACTTAATTTCAACGTCCTTGGCAGGGTCTGAATGTTCCAGTTCTTCTATCTTCTTTTCCATTTCTTTTATTTTCTCCTCAACGGAAGTCATCTTATTTTCCACATCAGCAGAGATTTCATTTTTTAAAGAAGACATATCAGAAGAAACTTTAGTTTCTAAAGAAGTGATTTCGTTTTTCACGGAAAACATATCAGAAGACACCTTTTCTTCTAAGGAAGAAATATTGGACAAAAATGTATTTTCCATAGAAGACATTTTATTTTCCAAGTCGGAAGAAATTTCGGATTCTAAAGAAGATATGTCAGAAGACACCTTTTCTTCTAAGGAAGAAATATCTGAAGAAACTTTGCTTTCTAAGGAGGAAATGTCTGAAGAAACTTTACTTTCTAATGAGGAAATGTTAGAAGAAATATCGGTTTTCATAGAAGACATAGAAGAAATTGAAGAAATTATAGCAGACGCATCATCCGAAAATAGAAAAATTTCCGGTTCCAAACCTTAATTTTTTAGTGCTTTTTTGAGTCGTTCTGCCAGCTCTGATTTTAAGTCACACAGTTTTTTAGCCATTATTGTCCACTATTTATTTACACTATCCCAATTCTGACACCAATGTGATGTTTGTTTATTTATTAATAATTTATTTAAACATTTATTTTATAACACTATTATTCTAATTTATATATATTTCGAATGACTTTAAATCGTTCACTATTTATATTCACTACTGTCTATCTACTAATGACCCCGCTTGGTCCTCCACCAATATTTATATACAAATTTAAAAGTTTGGCGAAGGTGCTAGAAAGTTCACCTATTCTCATCAATACACTAGAACCATTATCCTGTTTTTTCTCGAATAGTCATCGAAAGCTCCTCCGCCATAGACGTCACATATGTTTGGTCTTAAGGGGTTTAATTATGTATGATAATCGGTTGAGCCTCAAAGGCCAAATAAGACAGAGAGGGACTTGGAGGATTAGAGCATGACTGAATAATGAAATGGCTCACATTACAATATTTAGTTGATAAAGAATTTTTACTTTAAATACCTTTGTAGGCCAATCTTGACCAGTGTCTTTTCGATCCTTTGCTTCGTCCCTCTGTTTCTGTTCAAGAGATTGCTTGGCCGCCGTCGCTCTGTCAATTTCATTGAATTTCAGACCCGCTGTTACCTCTTTCCAAAGTCGACGGGATTCGTTCTCTTCTTGCTGACTGATTGGCTTCACTTGCTTTTTTATTATATTTAATTGGTTTACGTCTATCTGTTCCTCAGTCTCCTGAAAAATTAAGGCACAAAATGAGCGCTCCATTTATTTATTTATTTATTTACGGGTTAGAAACAGTTTATAATAAATTCCATAAGAAATATAAAACATTTGAAAATTATGAATTGAATCGCAAATCGAAATCCTAAGTCAGAATTATCTGAAATAATTTGAAAATTCGGAACCAAATCTCAAAAATCCCCCTACAAATTATCAAGACCATCTCCGAACCCCAAAGGTGAAAACAAATACTATTTGAAAAAAGCCTGTCGTCACCGGGATATTTGACCTCATTAAAACGAGTTAAAAATTTAATACAATAAAGTAAAAACAAATATAAATAAAAAGAAAATATATAAACAAAATAAAACTAAATAAAATAAAAATATCAACAATATAAACATAAAGATTTTTATAGTTCGTTTAAAAGCAGGAATATAGTTCAATATCAATATTATTTTAGTGTTTGTTAGAGAGATGTAAAATTCTGGATATTGTTAGATTTTGTCAGTGGTTAGTGTGATAAAAAGAAATTTTCCGTTGTAGCTTCTCAATGTGATTAATTTAAGCAAAATAAATGGGGGGCCAAATAGAGCAGCAGTATTTTAAATTAGACCAAAGTCGAGTAAATGTAGAAAATTGTCTACTGTTTCGTTCAGCAAATCCCAACATTTTAAAGCACTACAAAATCAGTTAGGTAGAAAGAACTGGAAAAAGTTTATAGACGAAATCCAACAAGTTACATGGACGAACACACCAAGAGTAAGAAAATGAACAACTAGAAAAAACTACCCTGTCGAGATAATAGAACTGGTAGCAGAAAAAAGAAAACTAAAAGACAAATTTCAGATGACAAGATTACTAAAAGATAAAAATGTATTAAATAGGGCCATCAAAAGACAGAGAAGAAAAATCCTAAATTATAAAGAATTCTTTAACAGATACCTAGTAGGGCTTACAGATGACAAAGAAACAGATTATTTGCTCCGGAAGGCAACTAAAAAGAAAAAACTCGTATAACCACTGTCCTCCTATCAGAATAGCAGATAACAAATGGGCAAGAGACAATCAACAGGAAGCTGATATATTCACTGATCACTTACAAAAGACGTTCCAATTAGAATAAAATCAAGACACTCCTAATAAGACGATCCATAATATGGAACTGTAGTTGTTTTAGATTAACAGTTATTTTATACTTTAAGGGTTGGCATTTATCAAACACATGTCCCTTATCATGTGTCGACGCGACGCAGATTGTCTTTTGGTAGTGTAATGTCTGTACCGCTATACTTTCAAATGAATAAAGTTAATTGTAAAAGTCTTGTCTCAATTAATGTGCAACCTAGTCAAATATACAACAATATTGGCGACGAAAGTAGATCGTTCCCGCGTGTCTGAAAGTCTTGATAACATTTTTATCTTTATCTTGTCAGTTAACATTAGTAAGAGTCCTGTCCTAACCTATACCAACCACGTGTCGAACCGAAGGAAACTGAATAGAAATGGCTTTAATTGGTACAATAGAACCCTTCAGCCCTAATGAATCGGACGTAAAAAGCTATATAGAAAGGTTAGAACAACTATTTGTTTGTAATGAGGTAGAGGAGCCCAAGAAAGTACCTATGTTTCTAACTTTAATAGGAGGAGAAGCATACAAAATATTAAAAAATGTATTAGCACCCACAACCTTAAGTTCAAAGTCGTATGAGTTAAAAAATGCATTGGTTGACCACTATTGTCCAAAACGTTTAATAATAGCTGAAAGATATAATTTCTATAGTTGTAACCAAGATAGTGATGAAGATATTAAGATGTACATTCAGAAATTAAAAGGATTAATAGAACACTGTGACTTCGGAACATTTTTGAATGATGCATTAAGAGATAAGTTTGTATGTGGTCTTAGGTCAGAGAATATTAAACGAAGACTGTTAAGATAATCTAACATTGCAAATTGCATATTCAATGGAACTAGCTGAAGGTAAAGCTAAAATAATGGTTCCTGAAAGTCTTGTCATAAATAAATTTCAAAAGTCAATGTCCAATAAATTTAGAAGTGGTCCAGAAAGAGGTAAAGAGTTTAGCACGGCAAACCGAGGTAAGGCATTTAATAAATTCTATTGTAAAAGATGCTTGCATGTTGTACATCAAGATGGTAAAAAATGCCCTGCTTTAAACTGGAAATGTTTTGCCTGCAATGAGATGGGCCATACTGCACGGTCAGTATATTGTAAAAATCGTGTGCATAATTTAGATGATCAACAATGTGATGAAGAGATACTAGAAGATGATTCATTAGAATTGGGAGCTTTAGAATATGATGCGAGTGATAATTGCGAATTTTTAAATTTTGTAACTAAAACTAGAGACTCAGAAAGTTTGCGTTTAACATTAAACATTGAAAACAAAAATATTCTAATGGAAGTAGATTCAGGACCTTGTAAATCTGTTATGCACGTTCAAGATTTTAAAGATATGTTTTGTAATTTAAGTTAAGCACCTGTCCATTTTAAAATGATGGTAGTTACAGGGGATGAAGTTTCTATTTTGGGTCAAGTTTTAGTTAATATAAAGTATAAAAATAATTATTATAAGTTACCCCTTGTAATATTAAACAGTAGAAATAAATTTAAACCCCTTTTAGGTAGGAATTGGTTGAGTGTTTTTAATCCACAATGGAGAAACATTTTAGTGAGTACAGGTAAAGTCGAAATACCTACAAATGAGGTTTTTGTTTTGTGTAAAGATAATTCTATAAACTCATCTAATGAGATCATCAAGTCAGACAAAGTAAGTCAAGTTAGTCTAGAAGTAGATAATAAAATAAAAAAAATAACTAGTGAAGTTAAGAGTATGTTTGCAGTAGTTTTTAAATAAAGCCCAAATGTTTCTATAAAATATTTCAAAGTTGAAGTTAAGCTTAAGGATAATGCTAAACCAATCTTTCATCGAGCTTATGATATGCCTTGTGCTCTAAAACCAGTAGTGGAAAATGAATTGTCTCAAATGGTTAAATCGGGTATTTTAAAAAAAATTACTTATAGTCAGTGGGCTAGTCCCATAATAGTAGTTCCAAAAAAGAATTCAAGTGACATCAGAATATGTGTTGACTTTAAAAAGACAGTAAATAGAGTGATTGATTCTGATTATTGTGTTTTACCCTCACCAGAGGATATATTTTCAAGTTTAAATGGTAGTACATTTTTTTACAGTACTTGATCTCAAAGGAGCATACCAACAACTACAAATTGGTGAACAGTCTAAAGATCTATTCACTATCAACAAGCACCTAGGTTTGTTCAGGTTTACTAGATTAACTTATGGAGTAAGTGCAGCTCCTGGGATATTTCAATCATTTATGGAAAGCATATTATCAGGTATGCCTAAAACTAAATGTTATTTGGATGACATTTTAGTACATGGTGCTACCTTAAAAGAATGTCATATCAATGTTATTAAAGTATTGTCACAATTAGAAAAGTACAATGTCACATTAAATGAAAATAAATGTATATTTTATCAAAAATGTGTCGAGTTTCTGGGTCATGTGATCAATGCAGAGGGTGTGCATCCATCAAATAAAAAAATTGAAAGTATAAAATGCTCCTTCGCCACAGAATATTACATAATTAAAGTCATACTTAGGTCTTGTAAACTACTATGGTAAATTTATAGAGATGTTGTCAACAAAGCTAAAACCCTTGTATGAGTTATGTAAATCAGACTCAGTATTTGAATGGAGTGCTGAACATGAAGAAGTTTTTAAATCAAGCAAAGAGTTGATAACGTCAGATAGTGTTCTTACATATTATAATCCAAATCTTCCTATTATAATCGCATGTGATGCTAGTGGTTATGGGGTAGGTGCAGTTATGAGTCATGTCATAGAGGGTAAAGAAAAACCAGTAATGTTTGCTTGTCAACTACCGAACAAGCATATTCAAATATTGAACGAGAAGCACTAGCATTAATTTTTGGTCTCAAAAAATTTCATAAATTTATATATGGTAGAAAATGTATCTTACAAACAGATCATCAGCCACTACAGTTTATATTTAGTAAAAATAAAAGTATTCCTGCTACGGCTGCGGCTCGTATTACACGCTGGGCTATAACGCTTTCAGGTTATGACTACGAAATGAATATAAAAAAGGTAAACTTCTAAGTAATGCCGATGGACTTTCTAGATTACCAATGCAATCGTCAACAGAAATCCCTAACTCCCTGTATTCTTTTAATTTAGTAGATAATGTACCGTTAAGTGCAGAAGATATAGCACATATAACTAAAAAGGATTTGGTTTTATGTTTTATTGATTTAACAATTTGTAGCTGGCCAAATCATATGTCAGATGAAACCTTAAAACCTTATTTTAAAAGAAGATTTAAGTTATCAGTTCAAAATAATTGTCTATTAGTTGGGAGCAGAGTTGTAATTCCAAAACTATTACAAGAAGAAATACTTGTACTATTTCATGAACAACATCTAGGAGTTGTCCGAACCAAAATGATATTACGCTCATACTGTTGGTGGCCAGGAATTGATGACGATGTTGAACGTTTTATAAATTCTTGTGCTATTTGTCAAAATTTTTCAAATAGTAGTTCGTTATTATCTTAACCATATGCACCTAATAACTTTTATAGAGTACACATAGATTTTTTTCATAAATATGGGCATAACTTTTTAATTGTCGTCGATAGTAAAACAAAATGGATTGATGTTAAACTGATGGATAAAGGTACTACCGCTAACGAAACTATTTCTAAACTTAAAGAAATTTTTTCAATTTTTGGATTACCTGTAGAGTTAGTATCCGACAATGATCCACCTTTTAATTCCTCTGAATTTAATATGTTTTGCCAAGCTAATGGCATTAAACCCATAAAAGCACCACCTTACCACCCCCAGTCTAACGGCGCTGCGGAAAGGGGTGTACAGACAATAAAAAAAGGACTAGACAAGTCCATAAAATTTGAAAAAGGAAAGGAAATAAGTAAAAAATTAATTACAAATAGAATAGTTAACTTTTCATTCACTTACAGAACCACACCTTCAACAGTAACACGTTTATCCCCAGAAGAAAGTGTATTTAAAATCAAACCTCGTACTAGATTTGACCTATTGAAACCGTCATTTAATAGTAATATGCAATTCCTAAATTAAATGATAACGTATTAAGAAATAAGACACTATACCACTTAAATGATCCTGTTTACATTAAAAATACTCAAACCAAGTTATGGGAAAAGGCTAAAATTGTAAAAATTATGAGTCAAGTAACATATTTAGTTCTAACTTCTAATAATAGTGTAAGATTGATACATGCTAATGATATTTGTTCTAAAGACTGTAATAATGTGTTAAGTGACGGTAATGTAAGAAAACCTACATACGAGACTCAAGTAGTACTAGATATAATTATTTCTAGTAATACTAAGTCTAATGTTGAAATGTGCACATCAGGAGATATAGAAACACCTAAAACCCAAGTTGATAATACACCTGTTAATCAAGAAGAACTACTAATAGAACCAACACCCTTTGTACGTGATTCTATAACTCCTACAGCTCTAGTAACCCGAACTGTAACTGTAAAACCTCCAGTTCGTTTAAATCTTTAAAAATATTTTAGGAAGGAAATGTAGTGTTTTAGATTAATTGTTATTTTATACTTTAAGGGTTGGCATTACTGAGAGTTTGCCACCACTGAATCATTTGTCAAACACATGTCCCTTGTCATGTGTCGACGCGACGCAGATTGTCTTTTGGTAGTGTAATGTCTGTACCGCTATACTTTCAAGTGAATAAAGCTAATTGTAAAAGTCTTGTCTCAATTAATGTGTAACCTAGTCAAATATACAACAGGAACAACTAGAAATTATGCTAATTATTTCCAATGAAGTTGCGAAATAAATTCAGACAAACATCAACCTACAGAAAGCCCAAGGATATGACCTTATTACTCGAGTAATATTAAAGAGACTACCAAGAAAGGCTATCGTTAAATTGACATACCTCATAAATGCGGCATTTCGCATCAAATATATACCAGATGCGTGGAAATTGGCTAAAGTAATCCTAATTCCTAAACCAAGAAAACCTCCAAATGAAGCCAACGATAGATCCATATAATTTTCACCAATAATATGTAAGCTATTTGAAAAGCTATTACTAAAGTGACTAAAACCAATAATCGAAAATGAAAACCTGATCCCTTCATACCAATTGGTTTTAGAAACAAACAACAATAGATCAAGAACACAGGATAACCAATATCATCAAAAAAGCATATAAAGAAAAAAGTATATGCTGAGCTATCTTCTTTGACGTAGCTCAAGCATTTGACAAGGTTTGGCTCGCTGGGCAGATACAGAAACTTGAAAAAATGCTCCCTAGAAAATATGTCGGCATTCTTCAATCATATCTAACAGGAAAACTATTTAGAGTGAAGCAAGAGAAGGCATATACCGAAATGAAAGAAATTAAAGCAGGTGTCCCACAGGGCAGTGTACTAGAACTGGTCCTTTAGTTATTATACACCAAATATATTCCTCAACAATGTGTTAAAATAGCAACGTTTTCGAATGACATTGCAATATTGGCCGAATTAATACAAAGACCTCAGAAAAACAGAATCAATCGATGTACAAAAAAATGGAAAATAAAAATATATCAAACTAAATCATGTGCATGTTGATTTTACTCTTAAGACAAAATTAACCAAAATAAACAAGAATAAATAATAATTTTATTCCGCATCACAATACCTAGGAATAATCCTAGATGTACGACTTAAATGGAAAGAGCACATAAAAAAGCGTAAAGAACTTGAATTTAAAATCAAAAAAATGTATTGGCTCTTAGGAAGAAAATCCAAGTTGTATAACAAACTGCTGATATATAACCATATCCTAAAACCAGTCTGGATTTATGGCATATAGCTATGGGGATATGCCAGCAAAAGTAATATCAACATGATACAAGTTTTCCAAAATAAAGTCCTAAGATGCATCGTTGATGCACCTTGGTTCTATTGAAACGATTATCTTCATAGAGACCTGAAGATGCCCACAGTCAAAGCAGAAATAAAGAGGTTTGCTGGGAAACATGAGGCTCGACTCAATTCCCACGTCAACGAAGAAGCGCTGCAATTACTGGACAACTTTATACTCAACAGAAGGCTCACACAGAAGAAGATATTTGAGCCAGTGCAGTAAACTTTAATGTTAGTGTTAGTTTAAAACAGTGTAATAAATCGTCACGTCAACTTTTGATGGCTTCCTATAGAAATAATTAAGACAACCTAATGAGGACTTAGATTAAAATTGTAGCTCAGTCAATAATGTATAGTGACAATATTCAAACAAACAAAAAGACAAAAAAACAAATAAAAACAGAAAAACAAAAAGAAACAAACACAAAACGAATAAACAACGAAAAAAATAAAACAAAAAAGAAAATAAAAAGAGTTTTTAATAGAATTAAACAACACTTACTCTTTCAGTCCATTTATATTCCATTACACCACTCCACTCCCCGGACACAGATAAAAATGGTTTCTTCTCATCCGGTCCGAAAATCTCGGCGCTTATTTTGTTTTTCTTGTTACCATAGAACGGTTTCGTGATAAATTCTATATTACAATTATAGCCCGTTTTTGGACAATTTATGGTTACAGTGCCGCCCAATTCTATCCATGGTATGGTGAGAATGGATCTTCCGTATCCATTTGGGAATGTTAATATGTACTCTTCGTCGTAGTCGATAACGTGCACAATTCCTTGACCAATGTTATAGACGCATATCGATAGACCGAGGAATTTCGACTTCGTGTATACATGCGCGTTAAAACTAATCCGTTTGTTGTAGTGTTCTGCGTAAAATGCAGAGACTGAAAAATATTAAACATGTTATTTATTTTTTCATTATCTAAAACACTATCACACTATTTGAAATACAGTACCTATTTTTTTGTGTTAGGCATACGACTAGTATATAAGTTAATAAAATGGCAACAGGGCAACAGCCAGTCGTCGATTAGAATAAGAAGATATGGTGGTGAATATTAGCCGAACCGAATTTCGGTGACTAAACCAGAGTGAATAGCGATAGCAGGGATATCGTCAATGCCACATGTTCACTGTGAAAGCACGGTTATGCCTAATACAAAATAATATGTACTGTATATACAGGGATGGGAAAAATTGGCGGAGCACCAAATTTATGTCTTTATTAAACCCATGTTGGGCGCCAATTTGTAACAATATTACTACTACCTTAGATAATATATGTACAGATAGGCTATCACTACGTAAATCTATACAATGTTGATGTCGCTCTAATAAAATACTTTTCTTTTTCTAATGCAGGCTTTCTTGCTCATATTAGAATCTTCAGCAGTAGCGTACGTAAACGGATTGCGTTGGGTTATTTTAAATGTGAAAATAGTGACTGCAAAATAAAGTTTTAGAAGATAGGTACCTTTTTATTGAACTGAAAACAAAATATGATATTGTCATGTCAAAAAATATAATAATGCAAAAAATATTTTATTGCTTCTAAAACATTTAGGTTTACAGGAAGGATTTGGAATTCTATAAAATATCTATACTTATTGAAAACGTATACAATAGTATAACTGAGGAAATACATAAAGCATTTAATTTAAACATGAAAAAATCTACCTAATAAGAATTAAACAAATCAATATATATTTACCTATTTGGCATAAGTAGAAGTATTTCAGGATATTAAAAAAATATACAAGAATTTTATTTACTTTTCTAATGACCTAGTTTAAAATATAAAATATCTAGTTTCTTTATTTAAATTAGGAAACTAAATATTCTTATATTACTGATGATAGTTTATATTTTGAATCATGTACAAATATACAGTCCAAAAACTAATAACATATTTTTTTTCAAATCGGCAATTCTGCACTAATTTTTTGATATTGCAAATACTTTTTTCACTCATCTTAATTGTGTGTGTAATATTTTATTTCTGTTTCGTAAGTTTGAAGCAGTATTGTTGGCAATAAAAGTCTTCATAATGACAGATTTTCTAGAGACTTCAATGTAAAGTTACCAAAATATCCAGGTTTTCTGAAATAAGTATTCATATACAATTTAATGTATCAGCTTAAATCAAATGCAATGTTTGATTTACTTCTTAATTAATGGTGACTCAAATTTTGTTGATGAGAGTTTCAGAGTCATACCTTGAACTTAATATTGAAGTGTATAAGGTACTTTTGTGCAAACTATACTTTCTTTTATTTGTTTAATACTCTTAAAGAAGTAGGCCCATAATCAAATGATTTAGTATCTGAAGAAATTAGAATACTAAAAACATTATTGGTTCGCCAAATTTATAAAACACAATGCCTTCTTTTTTTAGGCGACATGAGTTCACCACTATTCTTTTTCTTGCTTTGTTTGTGTAATACAAAGTTTCTAAAAAGTAAAATTACAATTTTTAAAAGTGCTTATTTAGAAACGTACAAACTTATAATATGTGTTGCAGCAAAGCAGAGAGACAATAGCGGCACGGGTAGCGAGAGGATGTCCACAGGGTGGAGTGCTGTCTCCACTCCTGTGGAACCTTGTAGTGGACGGGCTGCTTAGGGCTCTCAAAGATAAGGGACATAGAACCCTGGGATATGCCGATGATCTAGTGATCATGGCACAGGGAAAATGCAATACTATAGTAAGAGATCGATAGCAAGAGGCTCTAAATATAGTAACAAAATGTACAGAGGCGGAAGGACTGACTAAACATTAGCCCAAACAAATCTGACATAATTGCATTCACTCGCAGGAGGAAATTGGAGGGACTAGGGCCTCTAAACCTAAGAGGTGCAAGCATCCAGCTTAAGGGGGAGGTAAAATATCTCGGGGTTATTATTGACTCGAGACTTACCTGGAACCAGCATCTAGAAAGAACCACAAAAAGAGCGGAAACCTCGTTAATGATAGCAAGGCGATCCTTTGGAAAAAAATGGGGGTTAAAACCAGACATGGTATATTGGCTTTATAACATGGTGGTTAGACCGATAATAACATACGCAGCTTTGGTGTGGTGGCTAAAGACACAGCAAAGGAAAGCAATAACGAGGCTAAGCAAGGTACAAAGACTTGCATGCCTCGGAATAACGGGGGCAATGAAAACAACCCCCACTGCTGCAATGGAAGCACTAATAAGAATACCACCTTTTCACTATGTGATACAAGGAGAGGTAAGATTAGGTGCTTACAGATTAGGGAATACACTGGGAAATCTTGACATTAGGCCAGGTCAGATGAGTATCTCAAGGTTAGTGACAGGAGACGTGCTAGACATGAGATCAGACCACATAACCAAGAGGTACTTTTTTAATGATGAAAAACGTAAATAATTGTTTAAAAATAACTGGAAAAATAAATATAGAGATAGAGATATTAATCTATTTTTCTCTAATTAGAATTTTGGATGCGATTCTCGACCTAATTATCAAGGCGACACAAACATTGTTTACTGTCCTCTCTATACTACTCTGACACTAGTACTTACTTTATCTCAGAGGTTATGTAGGGTTCTAAATAATACAAAATTGTATCTTTGTATCTATCTATTAATTTGTAGATTGGTTTTAATCATTGGTCTATAAATAAAAATGGTCCATGTTGGCTGAATAGACTCGGATATCGGATAGTAGGCAACTTGATTAAATTTACATAAAAAACAGGGCAGCCCTTTTTGAAGCAAAATGTCCTTTTTACGGCAAATGTTCTAATTAACAGTGCAAGTTGAGGACTTTTTTTTAGGAGAAAGATTTTTTTCGTGCAGCCCGACGACCTTTTTTTAGGATTTCTTTAGGATGAGAACTCCTGTCAGCGTCATTGCCCTTTTTTCACTTTTCAAAAAGGTGGAACCCTATTCACGATATATAACTTATAAAATAAAAATGCCGTATGGGAATTAGTGATGGGCATAATCGAATTATTATTATAATCGAGTGATGGGTATTGAAGTGATTTCAATAATCCAATTATCATTCGAATGATCTATCACTAAGAAACTAGGAGGTCTCGACATTTTAATGCCAATATCTATCATTAATCATCATTATAACGAACTTATTTTCCATCCCTTCCTTTTTTGTTGTTGCTACCATCTAAAACAAAAAAAAAAAAAAAGAGGTCGGGTTCTAAGAAAATCCACTGCTTAACTTTTTAATAAATTAAAAAACAGTGTAGAACTTGTAAAAACAAGTCTATTAATACCTACCTACTTACCTAAATCAATATTTAAAATGCATATATCCAACATTTTCAATACGCTAGTTCAGTGATGATGTAATTATGGTTCCACTGACAAAGTGACAGTAAATTTTTTGAGTGCGTTTTGTTTACCTAAATTATACAGTTTCTTCACTTTTATAAATATATTCCTAAAGTAAGTAGATAACATGCATCAAATATACAATCGTTTAGTTACCAATTACATACCTTTAAACTATTTTTTATGACATGTAAACAATATTTAGAAATAAACTAAAAACAGTAAAAACATATAAGTCAAATTTATTGATGTTTTTGTTAAAAGTTTGGTTAGAATTAAATGTCAGTGTAACCAAAATGACATCACACCGAACTAGCGTAGAAATATGTTTGAAACACTCAAAAGAAGAATCAAATTCATTCGAAGTATTTTATATTTATTACTTCTCATTCCGTTTCACTCGGCATTCGGTACTTGTTAGGGTATGTATTTGAATGATCTGGTCATTCGAAATTCAGTTTCACTCAGAACTCAGTAGTGCATTTGAATGATCTGATCAATCGAAATTCCATTTCACACGGTAGTGTATTTAAAAGATATGACCATTCGAATGATCCAGCTCAAGTTCTCGAGATATGTCGAAACATTTTAATAATCAATTAATCGGTATGGATATCCCAGTAAACCACAAATAGTCGACATTCGCTCGGCCTGACACCGGCATGTACGGGAAGCCGAGTACTCGGATTGCCGTTGTCAGGGTTGCTTCTGAGCCGGGAGTGCCGTACCATTTGACGTAATTTGGAAGTAAAAACCGCATGTGGTCCATATTTGCCTTTCCAGACATGGGAGGTATCCATACGGGCCGAACTATATATAGATATATGAACGCGACTACAATGTAGTGGGCTGCCGACATTTGGCTGGGCGGACATGCCCTACCTATATGCCGAAACTGTACCCGTATATCGGGCCGAGTAAGGCATCCGGCAAGCCTCTTTCGGCCCAGTTACGGTGCAGTTAACTGTGTTTATTGAGATCTCTGTTTACAGAAGTATCGAAATTGTGAAAGAAATTAGCTATATTACTGGTAGGTCCGATTTAAAACTAACTTAAAAAGCAAATATAATATTGTTATAGTGGTTCTTGGTAAACTCAATTTATTTCCAAACTCAAACTTTTAAAATACAACTGTACAACGGATATTATAAAACTGAAACCTCCGACGTGAAAATCAACGCCTTATATAGCTTCCTTGGTTTTCTCGAAAGTTTCAGATGTTTTCAGACACGGAATGGAAATATATTCCGCCCTCCAGATATTTCTAGACTGTCCTCTCTTCTTCTTTTATTCGTACTGTTATTTATAACAACCGCAGCACACTGTAGGGTGCTGGGTGACATTGCATTTCTTTTTTTAAGCGTACGTTTACCTATAACAGCCACAGGTTACTGCAGGGTGCAGGGTAACATTGCTCCCTACTCTCTATTTAGTTAATAAAAAAATTTAAATAAACTGTTTAAATAGATAGATAGAAATAGATTGCTACTTAGTACGTGTAAATGATAATACTTTGCTACCGCTTTCTGGTGCGCAAAAGGGTTTTTAAAAATTCTTTGGGTTTGGTGTATTGAGCCCTTCGTTTTTGGTTCATTTCTGTGTTCTAAGTTTTGATATGACGAAGATGAATGCAAGAACCGACTCTCAGGTGACTGATTTATTCGTATTTCTACTCTTCGAGTTGATATTTTTTTGACTGTAATAATTTTTTGAATACCTGTGTTCAAAATTTGCGTAACATAATATTTATGTTTGGTAAAAATATAACTATATAAAAAAATGCACATAGAAAAAATAAAATCGACTCGTCCGAACAGTTTTTTGTTATTTGTCAAATAAAGACAGACATTTGGTGTTCCGCCAATTTTGACCAATTCTGTATGTACTTACTAGGAGGATGATGAGAGACCTGCTCAGCAACGAACGTAAGCTGAGATCTTTTGCACCACGGTACAGGTCCATCGTCTACCGTGCTGTCATCCGAGCCATTATTGGAATTTGGTACATCCCAATGACATCGAAATACTTCGCCGAGTATGGGATTGTAAGGTTTTTTGGCAACTGTACTTTTTCTGCCTGCATGGTAGGAGGAAAGATACCACCGGACTACTTGAACCATGCGTTCTCTAGGATCTTTGATATCGGGAATTCTAAAAGTATATTCATAATATAAAAAGAATGAAGGCGTAAAAGGGCAACATTGTATTTTTTTTCGACCTTAAAGTTTTGAGAATAAAGTCAAAATTAACCTTGGCACAAGCTGTATACGAATTATATGGAAGAGTTTAGCAAATCCAGTTGTAATGCCAAAAGAAGTGGTATTCACGATTCGACTCAAATTTGATGCCAATCTCGATAATAGCAATTCTATTCAACCAAATTCGATAATAGAGCCAATTTTTAAACTTAATACCGCTAGACAGAGTAGTTAATTCGATATAAAATCTTTAATTTTGAAGTTAGTTGGAGTGTTTCTTTACAATAGGCATATGGCATAAAATCTTGTGACAGAAAAGAATTAAGTTTTCAGAGTGATGCCTTTTCTCTATTAATATTTTCCTTCATTCAACCACATGAGTGTTGAGTGAATAATATGGATTAGCTTTGATTAATTCAGCTTGTTCCACTATAGTACCATATAATTGCTACATCATTACTTCAGATATGTCTACTTAGATTACCTAGATTGTTATTTCGTCCTCTCTAGGTTTGCCATGTTAGTGTTAAGTACATTTCTGGTAAAATAAAGTCTAATTTTCTCAAAGGTTCTCATTATAATAAGTGCAATGCTTCTTGTAGAAGTATTTTCATTTGAAATATTCGTAAACCATCAACTAGTGCCATTTCATGGGGTCATATTAAAAATTTAGTATACTCTATCAAAATAAATACAAGAGAAGAATTAGTGCAAAGAGTTCGGAAGGCGTTTAACGAGTTAGATGGTGAAATTATTCGTACATCAATAACTAACCATGTTGACAAAAGATTGTTGAAATGTCTGGAAGCTAACGGGGGCGGGTGTGGCATTTTGAACACTTGTTAAAATTATTTTTTTTTTAATTTCATTTGCTTTTAATAAAAATTGGTTTTGCGATTGCCCAACTCGTGCTACGCAATCGATCAAATTTCGAATGCGTATGTAAATAAAGCTCTTATCCCATTTATATTGTAAATAACTATAAAGATTTTTAACTATTTAAACGCACTAGTCATTATCAAGATTCATTTTCGTTTCAAAAACTCTTTTCAATTCTTTCAGCATGTGATGTGAGGGTTTTGACAAATATTTAGGCAGACTTGGAAAAATACAAAGGCATGTATTTGGTTTAAGCTTAGCATTTGCAGTAATTTTTACTAAATTTCCATCGAGTTGCAAATAGTTATTATTTCAGGAAAGTGTTTACAACTACTGCTGTTTTTGAAGGAATAAAGTTCGACATAGGAATTGCATTTAATCATTTTTGTATTAAATTGTCGTCATTTGGAAATTGAAAAAGGGTCAATAGCTTTTCACCCTTTGTTTTAAAACACTATTACAATAATTGGACTTACAGCCAGGAATGGAGCAGGTACTAGGTATAATTATTTAAGTTATCTACCTTGTCACGGGTCAACAACTGGCCACCAGACACTTTTTAACACTTATTTTAATTAAATGATTAAAAATTGGATTACAATTATCACGGGAAGTTATACAATGCAGTCATTAGGCGAGAGCTAGAGGTGTAACAACAAAAAACACTTTATTTCGGTAATATTTGACAGTTTATCGCATAGAAAAATTCACAAACTCTTGACTTTATATTAATACACACTTTAACAACTAATTAAAAAAAAAAATATTTAATTTTTCTGAACGTTTTTAGAAGAAAAAAAAGTTTGCAAAACAACCCGTTTCGTTTTAAAAGTGTACTAAAACGTGAGTAAAATGGACTATCTTATATTTATATAAGACAGATAATTTTATAACAAGTATCTAATGTGTTAATCAGTTGAAGTTGCTTAGATATTGACTACTTACTTAATAAACATGTCAGGATGTGCAAAATAATCTGCATACATTTCTAATAACGATCTCCTTTCTAAAATAAACGTTGGCAAGACTACTTTTGTCAGATCCATTCCTATTTTAACCTGTGATAACAGGTGTCTAATAACTGAACCATGGATTTCTAATTCTAATGTGTTGTCGTCACTCTCTTCATATAGAGCTGAAAAATAAAAACATAAATGTATTTATAGTAATTTTAAGATACGGACATTTAAACGCGGACCATTTAAGCCAAATCTAAGAGGGAGTGAGCTGGAGGCGAGTGTAAGGTGGAGCGTAAGTGGGAGTGAGGTGAAAGTCGTACGTATCGTGCGCCAGGTACTCCGCGCTGATCAGTAGTCTTTGTTTGTTTCATGCATAATCCTATTATACTGTTCAATTCATTGTAAAATAGATGAGGCTCTTATTAAAAAAGATGAGATAATTCTATGGGGTAGAAAATGTTTAAAAACGGTACAAGAATATCGAAGAAACAGAAAGAAAATATACTACTCTACAAATGAAATACGGGATACACTAAAAGAAAAATTAGACAAGATTCAAATATATAAAAAAAAACCGCCCGGCATTTGTAGACTGATTATCAATGGGATTGAATTATTTATTAAGACATCATAAACAATTCAGCAAAAAATCAGAACTACCGGGTCTGAGGCGACAAGGTTATAGAGCATTCAATATAAAAACCGATGCACGTCAGAGATGACGTCAGTGACAGTCATTGGTACCACACACACTAATAAAAATAATTAAATTTTATTTTGCAAATAAATGAATAAATTTAGACGCATGGAGTTCATTTTTATAAAATTGCATATTAAAAATGTATTTTTTGTCATATCACAGTAGTAAATGTACTGTAGGCAGATTATTAACGGAATAGTTTCTAGTGAATTTCATAATAAAAGTTGGTATCAAATGTGTCAGCTGTCAATATTAATACATTGTTGTCAATTGTTATTTGTTTTGTATTATTTTGCATCGATCGATTTCTTTTCAACAAATTATTTGTATTTTAGATTAAATTATTAAACTGTTTTTTTCAGAACAAATTTATTAAGAATTTAATAATGCCAAAACAATTAAATAGTCGCTGCAAGGAACTAGTGGCTTCTCTAATAAATTATTTGAGAAAGAACGTGATAATAATGGGCCTTTGTTACCTTTAACAGCTGTAAGAGAAGTGAGTTGATTAATAATGTATCAGCGTCAAATTAATATAATTATTTTGTTTCAGCGGGTCGCAGAAGCACTTAATCTCAAATTTTCTACTGTTAGTTCTATTTCACAAATTGTAAAGAACAGTGAAGTTCTAAAGTCACCACCAAAAAAGCGCCCTAGGCAAAAGAAAGTTACCAACACAAGAATTCTGAATACCAGTGCTATTCGAGATGTTATTTATAGCATGTACGAGTTTAGTAAGTGTATATGTATATAAATTATTATTAAACAATTACAAATTAATGTATGATTTCAGAGGAGCATGTAAGTTTAGATTCTTTGTTGGTGAAACTTAATAAGAAGGAGTTGTTCAATGGATGTCACACATCATTGCATACCTTAGTATTAGAAATAGGTTTCAAATGGCAGAAAGATGGACCAAGGCGAGGTCTTATGGAACTTCCAGATATTGCCGTGAAACGGGCAGAATTTTTAAGAAAATATACCAAAGAAAAGGAAGCAAATTTGAACCAGTTTGTTTTTATTGATGAGACTTGGATTTTCCAAAATGGCACCATAAATCGTTCTTGGCAAGACAGCAATAAAAGAAGTGTAAAAAGTACAAAAGTTGATGGTAAAGGTTAATAAAAAAAAAAACTAATGAATATATACATGTTAACTGTATATTGATCTTTTTTATAGATATATAATTCTTCATGCTGGAAACGAAAATGGATTTATTGATAGTGCCGAGGCCATATTTGCTTCAAAAAGCAATGATTATGATTATCACGGTGAAATGAATAATGAAAATTTTTTTAAAATGGTTCGAAGAACAATTGCTTCGAAGACTGCATGAACCATCTTTAATTGTAATGGACAATGCTTCATACCATAGCACATTGGCACACAAAACACCGAATAGTAATTCGACTAGGTTCAAATTCAAGAGTGGTTGACGAATCAGAACATACCTTATTCAGTCACCATGTTTAAGGCTGAACTTTTGAACCTTGTTAGACGGTGAGTAATGGAAATCTACTTTTTCTGTATTTTTTAAATGATTTTATTTTTTAGTAATAAACCACCAAAAATATATGTAACTGATATGCTGGCTGAACAGTATGGACATAAGGTGTCACGTCTTCCTCCTTACCATTGTATTTTTAATCCAATAGAACTGCTTTGGGGTATTTCAAAACAATATTCTAACAGGCACATTGGTCGGAATGGAAAGACACAAAGAGATTGTATAGACATGTGGTCTGAAGCACTTCGAACCATTACCCCACAAATGTGGGCAAACAGTGTAACACACTGAAAAAGAAATTTTGGTGTGAAAGAGAGCATATACTGGACCGATTGGAAATTGCTCCCATTATTATAACACCAAATAGAGATGATTCTGATTTTAGTTCTGATTATTCTGACTGATTTTAGCTTAAATATTATTTAAGTTTTAAAATGTCATGTGTTGTTAATTTTATTACCTAACTGTTCTAATTATTGTTACTTCTTTTAAATATGGATGTTTATAAACTAACTGAACATAATTATTTTTGTAAATTAAATTAAGCCTAAATAAAATTTGTTTGTTTTTTGGTCCTTAACCTAACCTTTTTTTTTTGTAATTTTAAACCTCTTGTGCAAAATTTATTACTATTAAATTCAGTGTTTTTCTAAAACTTCAATTTAAACATTATCAATGACCTTCATTGGCTTTTATATAGAATTCATTATACATTTAAAATTAATTGTTCCTAATAACATAGCCAAAAAAATATAACCTCATAGTTTTAAAAATTCCTACATTCTTAGACTATTTTGAAGATTGGGCAACACTGCAAGGCTATGACTTCACAACTGATTGATGACGAGTATCGGTTTTTATATTGAATGCTCTATACTAGATTACTCGTGCCAGCTAAAAGGCAATGGTTTAAAGATTGAAGTCTCCTGAATTTTATTTGTCCTGCTAAAAAACGGTTTCTAAAACGAGAGATTAAAAAAGGAGTATCTCTCGAAATATTTCCGAATTTTATTTGTTAGGTGTAAAAATACCTGACATTTAAGTGTCAAATTATTTATTTTATACACTTTCGCTACAAATTCCCGTAAAAATAAACGATGAATCACTGACTAAATTTTTGGAACTGAATTGTAGATAAATTTTAATTGATACCTTCATTTTTGTAATTATTAGTAAAGGGATAATGATATTTGTTTAACTTACCATCATAATCAAGATCTTCAAAATTTGTCGTCCTAGATCTTACACTATCTTGTCTGCTATTTAGTATATTACTTGATTTATTAACAGTAACGGGAGTCTGGGCATCTTCGGCGAAAGACCTTATACTACTGAAAAGAAAAAATAGAAACATATTTAAAAATGGTTAGTATTTCATCATTTTCAAATCACACAGATCAGCACACTCGAAATTTACTTTTGAATGAAATTTACAAAAATACGTTTATAAGAAACTAGTGCAATAAGAGTCAGTGTCATCGAGTTCCTCCACTTTACCTGCGATAATAATAATTTTTGTTTTTCTAGGGATTATTTCCACAGCCTAGTTCCTCCGCCAGGCGCCAATCCCTAACTGACGTCAACAGGTAGGTGGAGGACAACAAACAAATTTATTTGCACGGCTTCAGGCCGCACAGGTTAGGTAATTTACTTATTTTTTTTTTTATTTATAATGCAGAAGATTAGGTGAAAGATTAACAAAATATATATTTGCCCGGCTCCAGGCCGCACAGGCTAGATAAAATAGTTATATTTTTTATTTTTCTCATTTTATGTATAATTCTTTTGCGACAGATCAGAAAAATAACGAAATAATAATTTTTAAAAAAACATTTGTTATTCGTATATACCCGTTACCAAATAAAAATATTTTCATTTGTAATTTTGCATATTTGTTGTTATTATTTTTCTATCACCAAGTTTCTACTTGTGTATTTCCAGGGAATTTATGATTCTTTTATTATTTGCTATAATTACTTTCCCTTCGATATCGTGGAGGAATTCGGATAGCGGATTAATAATACCGCAGGTAGGTAGGTAGGTAGGTGGAAGAACTCGGCGACGCCCGTAATAGCCCGCAATTTACCTTGCTCGTAAAATTGCAGGCAATTCGTATTGCACAGCTGTTGCAATTTTTGTTGCATTTCCAGAATACAAGGCCGAACTGATTATTTATTGCCGCAATTGCAGCCTGCAATTTTTGGGAATAATGGCTAAAATGAACGCTGCCGATCAATTTGAAAATCTCTAGAGTATACATTTCTGGCAGTTGACAATTGTCGCTAAACATATTTTAATAACAAACTTTCATGCCCTACTTTTTCCCATTTTCTCGTGTAGAATTACTTCCAGAAATACAGGCTGGCCACTATTTTATTGAAACGTATTGCTATCTTGTAAACCGTTGGTAACATAAAGTGGTTAAATTGAAACAAAAACTTGTATATTTCGATGAACAATTTGAGGAAGTTTTGATAACTAAAATAACAAGGCTGGTTTCTGAGATATTCGATAAAAAACAAATTAGTTACATTTCTTTATACGTACAGAGCTTTTATTTTTTAAAAATAGACCAAAACTCATTCAATGTTTCTTGTTTTATATCAAGTGGGGCATATAATAACGTATTTACTTTTTTTCGTAAATGCAGGATCAACTTCTTTATTTGAATATGGAACAGTGTTATTTCGACATAAATTAGTCAACATTTCCAAAACATTATCAGGTAACTACGGACCACATTTTTACTTTCCCATCTGTATACAGATATAAGGAAAGTATAGGAATCATGATTTTTTTCGACCTCGAGTTTTCGACGGATTTTTACGTTTTGAGGTCCCCTGAATTCGTTTTGACTATTTTCGCGATGATGTCTGTGTGTGTGTGTGTGTGTGTCTGTATAACGCATAACTCATGAACCGATACACAGAAAAACACCAAATTTTAAACTTAAGCTTTGTTTCAGCGTCCAATGAGCTGATTAGATTTTGGGCAGAGTCGGAACATCTGGGGGAGTACTTTATTGGTGGTCATTTTTATATTTTATGGAATATATGTTATTTACGTTTGGAGAAGAAAATTTTTCAAATAAAAGTTACTTCCAATATAATTATCTATAATTTTTATTCTATGCAAAATTTTCCTAAAATGGACCGTATTCGAGATATTTGAGAAAATGTGTAAATTTCGAATTTTGAAGAAAACTCAAAAACGGATAAAGAAAAAACATTAAATTTTAAACTTAAGGTTTATTTCGGACTGACGTGGAAATGATTAGATTTTGGACAAAGTCGGAACATCTGGGGGGGTACTTTATGGGAGGCCGTTTTTATATTTTATGGAAAATATATTATTTATGTTTGGAGAAGAAAATTGTTCAAATAAAAGTTACTTCTAATATTATTATTTATAATTTTTGTTTTATGTCAAAATTTCCTGAAATGGTCCGTATTCGAGAAATTTGACAAAATGTGCAAAATTCTGAATTTTATGAAAATTGTTGAACTAAAAGTTGTTTGCGATATCGATCTCTATAATTTTTGTTTATACATGATTTTTCTGAAATGGACCGTAATGGAAAAGTGCTAAATTTAAATTTTTCAGTATTTTCGTTTTCAATGAATATCTATAGAAAATGTTTCGAGGTAGATATATGTGGACAATGTATATATTTAGTTTATCCTCTAAATATTTATAGAGATGCTGCAATAGGTTGTACAAAATAACCGGAAAAAGCCTATAATAACTAGATAGGAAAGTCATGTGTTGGACACATCAGATTTTTTAGTTAAAAATGTTTTAGAAATTGTCAATATTAAATACCACCGGCAACATTTTAATATGTGGTTGTAATTTTTACAAACATGTTGAAATTACACGGTTATAAATATAAAACTGTAAAATTAATTTTTTCAAATAAATTATTTCCGTTATTGGTTATACAGGGTGATCCATTAGTGTGAAAAAGTCCAATATCTCCGCCATTATTAGAGATATAAAAAAAATATTTTCATAGAACGGTAGACAGCATTAAACTACATATTTTAAAATTATTTTTGAATATACAGGGTGTTCAATAATTTCCCTCTGGAACCAACTTATGTTCCTTTTAATGGATCACCATGTATTTTATTTTATATTTGAATTGCCTTCGCTTTTCCCATTCTAAAAATATAAATTATTATTGGTTTATACAGGGTATTTTGCAGGATATAATCAGTTTTGTATGAAAATCGTATTGAATTTAATGACCTATATCATGTAAAAGAAACCATTGATAACCAATTTTTTTTCTACTACAATTTTTCAATCATGGTCAAATTATATCTGGAGACACTACTTTTTTCAATTCGCATCAAATCTGTACAGGGTGAGTCAAAACACAAATACATAATTTTCTCAATTTTTTTTAAATGGTTCACCCTGTATTTTATATCATCGTTCAAAAGTATCCTAATTATACTTTAATTTGACTTAAACATTCCCTATACCAAAAGTTAATAGTTTTTAGAGATTTTTAAATTTTAGTGGTAAAAACGATAATTCAGAAACTAATTGATAGAAAATACATTCTGTTTGATAATTAGTAATTATTACAATTTAACCAGCTGTAATTTATTATCGATTTTTACATTAAGAAAGAAAAAATATCAATAGCTAGCACAAATTCATACTTAATTTGTTGGCCTCCCATAATATTTATGCAGGCTCGAAGACGATTTTCAAAGTTCCGACACACATTCCTAAGCATTTCCACAGTAACACTTTGAAATGCCTCTCTTACTCGTATTTTAGTTAGAGGTATTTTATAGACTAGAGCCTTAACGTAGCCCCAGAAAAAAAAGTCCATTTTAGTTAAATCTGGTTTGGCCCGCCTCTTCCTATCCATCTTCCTGGAAATAAATCTGCAAGTTCGCCATTTACAAGAGCGTTATTGTGAGCAGGGGCACCATCATGTAAATACCACATTTTCCGGCGTACTTCAAGAGGAAGATCTTCAAGCAATATTGGTAAAGAATTCACTAGAAAGTCTAAGTAGAATTCCCCATTTACAGGTTCGTTAAAAAAATGAGGTCCTATTACGTACTCACCGATAATACCATCCCAAACAGTTAAAGACCACCTTTCCTGACTGTGAGTAATTATATGGTATGGATTAGAAGTGGAATAATAATGAAAGTTGTGACTATGCGCTAGTTCAGTAATGATGTAATTATGGTTCCACTGACAATTAAAGTGACAGTAGATTTTTTGATTGCGTTTTGTTCGTTTTGTTTACCTAAATTATATCGTTTTTGTTAAAAGTTTGGTTAGAATTAAATGTCAGTGGAACCAAAATGACATCACACTGAACTAGCGCATTGACACAGCCATTTCGATGAAAAGTTGCCTCATCTCTAAAAAAATTCTCTTCTCTGCCAACAAAACATTTAGTTCATTTTCCTCTTTAGTAACAGTTTCTGTTCTATCAATTTTCTCATATGAAACTGACCCTGTTCGATTAAATCGATCCATCAGTTTTTCGAACGATGTTTTATTTGACGTTCTACGCTCTGGAAATATTTCTTTATAAACTCTAATTTCTAACAAGGAGTTTTTATTGCATTCTCCCAAAATCCATACCATATCAACTAATTCTTCACGACTATAATTCATATTAAAAAACTGGCGAGACTTTGTAGAAAACAAAATTTGTTATTTAATAATGCAACACTAATGACATTAATAATAACAAACTGTCAGTATTGGGGGATTACCAAAGCCAACTTAAAAAAAATTTAATAAACAAAAAATTTAGTAGGTTTCATTTGTAGTTTGTTTATTTCTTTTTCTAATAAATGTATAAGTGACATTACATATTGTCAGAAACTTACTTAGTCGCTAATAAATAATTACTTCAGTTTAAATTCAATTAATTACTAATGATAAATAAAATGTATTTCCAATCAATTATTTTCTGAATTATCGTTTTTACCACTAAAATTTAAAAATCTCTAAAAATTATTAACTTTTGGTATAGGGAATGCTTAAGTCAAATTAAAGTATAATTAGGATACTTTTGCACAATGATATAAAATACAGGGCGCACCATTTAAAAAATGGAGAAAATTATGTATTTGTGTTTTGACTCACCTTGTGCAGATTTGTTGCGAATTGAAAAAAGTAGTGTCTCCGGATAATATTTGACCATGATCGAAAAATTGTGGTAGAAAAAAAAATTGGTTGTCAATTGTTTCTTTTGCATGATATAGGTCATTGAATTCAATACGATTTTCATACAAAACTGATTATATCCTGCAAAATACCCTGTATAAACCAATAATAATTTATA